ATGTCACACAGTATCAGATTGTCTGCCAGTGATTAGGGTTGAGTCATGTCACACAGTATCAGACTGTCTGCCAGTGATTAGGGTTGAATCATGTCACACAGTATCAGATTGTCTGCCATTGACTTGGGTTGAGTCATGTCACACAGTATCAGATTGTCTGCCACTGACTTGGGTTGAGTCATGTCACACAGTATCAGATTGTCTGCCACTGACTTGGGTTGAGTCATGTCACACAGTATCAGATTATCTGCCATTGACTTCGGTTGGGTTGGGTTGAGTCACAGTATCAGATTGTCAGCCATTGACAAATTTACCATACTCGTCCGACTCATTTGGGGGCATTTCTAGCTTTGTGGTTATGTTCAACTAAGTGTAAAATGTCCCAAATGTCTTTGGACTTTTGTGAATATTGATAATGAAATTACAGTGTGAATACTGAATGCAGGTTCTGACAATGGCCCTATCGACTGTGAACGGTGTTCATAATTCATTTCTTCATTCAAATCTCAAAAATTCCCAAGTTCACTTTTGCATTGCATTACAAAAATACCTGATTGGTTAATGCAGGTCATTTCATGCAGAAAATAAAAATGATCAAAGAAAGCTTAGAAAGAACTCCCATGTGCTGAGAGTATTGGAGACACATTAAATATAATTCGAAATTACTTAGCTGAAAACTAATTATGCAAATCAGAAAATTAATATGACCAGATTTGAGTGTAAAACTAATGAGGTCTGCGCAATGTAACAGAAAATCTATGTCTCCAAGTTTAATTGAAATGTGATTAGAACCAAAAAATTATGAATTATTATGCTTATTAGGGAATTAATATGAACAGATTTTTACCCCAAACTAATTAGGTTTGTACATTGTCCTAGAGCATCTTTATACTAAGTTTCATTGAAATGGAATAATTAGTACCGTGAAAACTCCAAAATTTCGACCCCTCTAAAAATTCGATCGCCTATTTATTTGCCGGGTTTCGGTGTTTTATTTACCTCCAAATTTTCGATTCCACTAAAAATTGCCGACTCATTCTTATTCGAAAATTGCGACCAGTTTTAGTTTTCCCACAAACGAAAAAAAAACCGATGTGAGCGTTCAAACGGGACCTTCCTCGAAGGCATGAATCCGGGTTTCTGATTGACTGAGAGATTTTTATTTTATTGGTAACGAAAATATATTCTAAATAAACGAAGTTTGAAATAAAAACGAACACAAAAATCTCGGCATGCTGCGTTTCTGAATTGTTGATTATTACTGTACTCAGTAGTGATTATAATAATGTACACAAAATAAATTTGTTGAATGGTTATGAAATACAAATAAAAGTCAACTTAGTTTCATCGTAAGCGAATGATTCCGGTCTCGTATAAACGTTTGATGCTGTAGGATATCCGCCATGTTCTCTTAGGTCAAATAGGTCAAATCGCTAATTAACCAATCAAAAAGCTGGATGATGCCAACGTGTTCAAATTACCATAGCTTATTTAAATATGTTAATGTTATTGAACGCAATGCGGAAGAGATTGGTGTTGTAGTACGATGTTTTGGCTTGGATTTTGATGCGAAAACGGCATGATTTTTTTTAAATAAAAAAATTAGTTGTTTTTAAAAAATAAACTGGTCATCTGAAGAATAATTTAACATTGTTCACAATGATAACAGCTCATTCTCGAAAGGAAGCTTACCCGCTCACGCTAGTCACGATAAAAATCATACACGTGTACTCTTGAATAGACCATGGAACTAGGTTTATAGTTCCATGAATAGACAAACGTCAATGACTACGGTAAAACTTAGACTCTATTTTAGCCGGCAGGATTGATTGAAATGTCCGAAAAATGACGCCAAAATACACCTTAAAAGTCCCATTTTATTTTCTTAAATCCCATTTTATTTTTTAATCCAAGGGCGAATTTACGGCAGAATTTGGTCCCTCAAATAAGGGACACGTGAGCTTTGATTCTAACCGGATACATTGCACTGGGTCGGGGAGATAGTTTGCTAAACTTCCATGCATCTTTTGTCCAATGCAGTGTTCTCCCCAGACTCTAAGCCAAGCATCGCGGCTAATTAACATAACAATACATCTTATTTGCATAATTTTGTTTGCATAATAATTAGTTTGTTAAATTTGTAAAATCTGTATGAAGAAATTAATAAATCAATAATGACATTTTTTTTCTATAACGGCATTTCAAAACTAAAGTCAGCGATTTTTCATTGATCTATCTATTACTTGTGTAACGCTACGATCACCGTAACATTGTCAGCTGACGGCATTGCGTTGAACGGGTATTCACCGCTGCTGTTGCGATCATCGGTCCCTGACTTTTTTGTTTAAAAATACACAAACTTAGAATGTTTGCTTAATTAAAACGATTTATTGATGATTAACTTATAAATTACGTCAAAATCGCCAACGAAATGTTGTTTTTAAACATCGCGGAAAAACATGCACTCTGCGCCGCCATCTTTGCTACCTCAATCAAAATCTCCGTTGTAACCCAGCATGCATCGGTTGTGATGTCACTACATGCGTTACGTCGCCTTAGGGTGGCGTTCCTCGGTAATGACGCATGAGGTATTTCTAGAGGTCAGGGTTCG